ATTAAATAACCAAGGCTACAATTTTAATAGATTATAAAGATAAAACATGTCATATGCAAAAGATTGAAGTTTACATAAGAGAAAAGAAACCCATAATAAGAATTTATAGTGAGAGTCTGATCTTTTTGAAAAAAAGTGTGTACATTATTTTTGATAGATAATTATCTTATTTTGGAAAGAATTTGAGAAAAATATTCTCAAGTTCATGCAGTAATCTCTGCAAGTTTTGAATATCATTATTTTTGGTCATTCTGTCATGTTTTTTCACATATTAGGTAATTTTCCATTTAACCCAATATTTCTTATTTATGGGTATTAAAATTGGATTAAAAGTATACAAACAGACAACTACAGATCAATATTATAAAGAGCAATCCAAAAACTCTAGATTAAAAAATAGAAAACACATCCCAATAGCACATTAAAAAAGAATTGTGTTTACTTCAAGATTGCAAGTATGGTTCAATATTAGGAAATCCACTGGTTTTATTTACCAATTAATAATTCTATGTAGAAAAACCCCACATCAAAACTACAGATACTGAGAAAACATTTCTTACCATTATAGTTTGTGTGTGTGTGTATGCACATGTGCACACATGAGTATACATAGCAGTCTTCAAGCTACCATTTTGCATAACTGGAAAATTGTACATCACTGCTAGAGATGGGGATGAAGTAAGAAAACCCACATTACTTTGAGGACATTAAACAATACACTCATAAAGAAAATGGCACTTAAAATGGTAGCCCCAAAGATATAATCTTATAGTTACTACTTTATTTTAAAGATTTATTTATTTATTTATTTATACAAGACCTGGGGTACAGACCAGAGGTGCAGGAGAGTGAGAATTCACCAGAGACAGAGCGGGGAGCAGAGGGACTGAAAATACAGCTGAGTGGAGCAGCGGGTAAGGCAGGAGAGGTCCCCTGCGCCATGTGGGCCTCTCCCTGGCTGGTCAGGAATCGAACCCATGCTGCAGAGGCTGCAGACAGCGCCACAGTGCCGCACTCAACCCGCTGTGCCACCGGGAAGGCCCTGGGTACTATTTTAAATATCAACCTCTGCGATTATAATTTTAACTCTGTGTGTGTGCGTGTGTGCGTGTGTGCGTGTGTGTGTGTAAAAGGAAGAGAAACCACATAGATAATTGACAGTAGAGGAGGGATGTGCATCAGTAAATTAATTATGCTTATTTCTGATATATGTAAGGGGGTATTTTAGAAAATTTTTACTTTCTCTTTGTGCTTTTCTGGATGGTACTTGTATTGTATTTTACCACAAAATATTTATTTTTAATTAAAACTTGCTTAGGACAAAAAGCAATTATTCTTTAAAGCTTCTCCAAATTGGAATTATATGGCATAGTTATGAATGTGTATGTAAAATTAAATTACTCCAACCTCACTTATTTGACAAAGCATGGATGTGATATAAGAGATCAATGTAGATATCTTGCATCACATAAATACTGCTCAAATCTTTTGAGTCATTCCCAAATTCCAAGACTGTAAAAATCATCTAATTTGCATCTAATGTAATAGACTCTCACTGTCTTTAGTTTTAGATTAAAAATGGAAGAAAGAATAGATAGTGAAATCTATCTCCATTTTCACTTACGCACAATAAGCACACCCTTTGAAGTTATCACTGACACAGCTCTTAAAACAAAGCATTTATCACACGGTTTTATATGACTGAAATATAGCTAGATAAGGTTTGTTGAGTTATTATGGAGATATCAGAAATAAAACTTTTTATTGGAAGAGGTCAGGTCCTTGGCTTAAAAGGATATGCCTGGGTGAAGGAATATGCTGTACTAGTACAGCACCAGTGCTTTTTATTTAAAAGTTTATGATTGAATGATTTTTAGAAAGACATTTGTTTCCCACCTGTTTTTACCCTTCAAAGTTGTATTTTTCTTGGCAGAGTCACACCTCATGATTTGGCTCCATATGAAGTTCGCGTTTCCATTAATTCTGAAAAAAATATAGCCAAGGTTTAACACAAGCTTAAATTTTAGTTACGTTTGCTCTTTTTATGGGCCCCAAGCACAGGTGTATTCAGCTTGCTTCGGTCATTATGTTACATCGCTATGTTATTTTAAGCAACAATATTGCTTTTGCTGAAAAAATAGTTTAAATATGTATAAAATGGTTTTGTATAATTTTTTTGGCTATGAATACTCACAGGTTATAATAACCAAGTCAACTATATTCTAATAAAATAGCAATTCACGAAAGTTATTTATGGTATCATTTATATTGTCTCTGGGACATTTTAATTAGTAACATTTCTATTATACAAACAAAAACACATAAAAACAAAAACTCAGTAAAACAGATACAATATGTAGCATCTAAAAGTTAAAGTTATTATTTCATCAGAAGAATTTGACTATATTTTTTTAGTAGATATCATTCAATGCCACATTGTGCTGGGATCATAGCGTCATTGAACAATGTAATACATGTCTTTGGAATTGTATTGATGCATTTGGCATCACAGAGTCTATAAAGGAAATTAAATTTAAAAATTTACTCTCAAGGATGAAAACATATACTTGGACACAGTACACATTGAAATTAGTGTAGTTAAGACACAAAATTTTAGGGATCCTCTATTCCAAACTCTTCATTTCACACTGAGAAAGTACAGGCTCTAAGGGGAAGAAATGGCTTACCATCAAAGGAAGAATCCGAGGGGCAAGTGGAGGCATATCAAGGACAAATGGAAAATCAACTGGCATATTTAAATGTCTAGAGAGAGTTTGGTGAATTAAATGAATATGTGGAACAATATATGTAACACATAGGGGAGGCTTAGTCTCATAGCCCAGACATCAACTGTGCCCATATCCTTGATTGCCTGCCCCACTTCTTGTGAAGTGGGGCAACATATTCACAACACATTCACCAGTGACCACAAAAATCCATCTATAGCTGGAATGACAAGAGTGCGGTGATTTTACCAAAGGCCTTAACAGTATACACTAGAAGCCAAGGTTCAGAATCAATGGTCATGATCATTTCTCTGACTCCATCCCTGTCTATTTTATTCCTTCATCTTTTCCCAGACAAAAACAAACAATGGCAGTCTGTGTTTCTGAGAGGTAGAATTTCAGTGATTTTAGAAACTTAAAACTTGCTATAGTCTTTGTTTTCCATTTTATAATACAATATTTTATTATAAAAATTCAAATTCTAATTTATATACTGACAAAGAAATACAATTAATTTGAAGTAATTGACCTAATGGACCATAGTCAAATGTTCAGTTTTTTTTTTTTAAAGCACATGATGCATTCAATTATTACTCTTTTGATAAGACCTGAGATCAAAGAATGGAATATTTTGTTTGTAAGAATTCCTCAATTTTACCAACTCATACACTTGTTTTATTTTATAACCATTTGTTCTTATTGTTACAATCTCTTCCTTGTACATATTTTGACAAGAGAATATACTACAAGGAAATAAGCAAACCATTAAATATCACAATTTGGCATATATTTTTACATGTTATTTTTTAGATGTTTTTCACATGTAACTCATTTTAACTAAACAATGTTATATAGTAAGTAGAACACTGTTTCCATTTTACCTATTTATAAACAAACAGAACAATGAGTGATTTCATTTGATGGTATGATGAAACGTAAAATTTTTGGCATGATAATGAGGTAGAATTATTGTCTTAAGCTACAGAAAGTCTCCATGAAGAGTTTTTCTGTCTATGTGCATGACACAGTCAAAAGATTTGCCTTCTCTGCATGCCCCAGGTCACACAAAGAAGTATATAGTCCTTTCTCTTTGTCTTGTGACCTGGTGTCAATACAGTAGAACAAACCTGTGTTTTTAAAACGTTCGTATTATGATCCATGAGTAGATCAGGAAACCAGTTTAGAAGACCGTAATCAGGATACTGTTGAAGAAGTGAAATACAATGATGCTAGTTTTCCTAAATGTGCCACTGAGGGTACTTGCATGTAGATACTTCACATCTGTCTACTTGTATCAGTCAACTTAGGTTGACATAACAAAATATAATATGCTGAGTGACTTATGCAGCAGCAATTTATTTTCTCACAGTCTGGAAGCTAGAAGTCCAAGATAAATGTCCCTGTAGGGTTGCTCTCTTGAAGTCTCTCCCGTTGGCTGGCAGACAGCCACCTTCGTGCTATGTCTGTGCAAGGTCTTTCTTTTGTGCACACACATCCCTCATGTTCCTTCTTCTTTATATGGACAATAGTCCTTCTAAGTGCCCCTTCCTTAGGAGCCCATTTAATCTTAATTACATACTTAAAAACTCTATTTCCAAATACAGTAACACAGCAAATTAGAACCTCAACACATAAATTTGGGGTAAATTTAGATTACCCTAAACCCCCACTAATGTAATGTGGGGTTTTAATGTAATTGCCAGCACTGAAGGTATCTCCTGTCACAGAGAAAATAAAAATCTGACTCAGGGTTAATATAGAAATAAATTAAATAATAACTGCAAGTGGAGTTTAAAAACCACTGAATCTGAATTAACTAAATGAAAATGTAACAATTGCAGGCTAAATAAGAGAATTAAGCTGCAAGATTTCTTTTGATTATTTTGAACTCACTGTTAATCTACCTAATAAATTATCTGCAAATATGCTCAGTGAATTAAAACTTTAAAATTGCTTTCTTCAGTTACTTCCAGATTAGCTAGATTATAAAGTAAAAGGTTACTTTTGTATTTTTTTCTGTGAAAATATGTTTCAATTTTACAAATGAATTATAAAATGTGGTTTTCACCATTAGAGATTAATGAATAGAACAGAGTCTGCAGACTCATAGAAATATACCATCTGGGTAAAAGTTAATACTTTTTCTCATTAGTTACCCATTGAGAAGTTTCTAATTAATATTTATACTTTGTGACTTTTCCTCTTTTTCCCATTACAGGAATCTCTTATCCAGGTCCTGTGTGGCTATCTTAATATATTTTTTTTTCTTTTCAGGTGTTATGTCCTGGAATTGTCTATGATTGCTCCGCTGATAAATTTTTAAAATGGAAAAATAAGAGAGTTCAGCAATGTTACCAGAGCACAAAGGAAAAATCAATAGTATTTGTCTACATCAGAAACAATAACTAGAAAATATAGTAGAAGATAAAATGCAAATTATAAAAGCAAGAAACCAAAACTTAAAAGAACCAAAGAAGAGCAACAAAACTTTTCTAGGGGCAACCCTAAATATTTCAACAGCCCTCTAGTATAAAATTAAAAAATCTCTAGTAAAGGACATAGCAATGCCAATGTTAAATGACTGTGTTTGTGAAATATAATCAAATCCCGGCAGGATTTGTATGTTTGTTTGTGGATGAAACTTGCGTACTGATTCCAAAATGTGTATGAATGAAGGCCCCCGGCAATTTTAAGGAAAAAAATCAAAGAAGAGTAGGTTTTCTCTGCTGTTGACATGACACAAAGTCATCAGATTTCAAATAATGTGTCTTGGGCAGCAACTGTCAAGAAGACCCATTTACCAGAATAGAGAGCTGAGAATCAGGTTTTTCGTGTATGACAACTTGATCAAAATGCTATTATATAAGTTTGGGAAATGAGAAATGATAGAATATGTTAACAGAAATAATAAAATATGAAAAAAAGCATGCAAAACAATGTTACTTATTTTTCAAGGATGCACATATATGTAATGAATACAGAGAAGGTGGTTTAGCAGTAGGAATGAGTAGGAATGAAAAGGATATAGAAGAAAAATTAATATTAAACAAGAGTGTGCCTTATAAATGACATATGATAGGAGGCTGTAGACTGAAGATTAGTAATTGACTCAATTCTATGAATCCGAAACTTAAAATTTTAATCTGGTTTGTAAACAAATACAACACTGATAATATCTGAAATGCCAGGGCACCACAACCCTGAGATCTTTGTGATTTTGCCTATTAAGAGATCATGCTACTTCCCTTCAATGTGGTAGACAGAGTTCTAAATTCCCACCCCCATTCCAATTCCTGCCCCCTGGTGTACAGTCAAATAATAATTATGCTCCTGCTATGAAGGTATTTTGTGGATGAAACAAGTTCCAAAATTAGTTGACCTCAAGAAGGGACATAAACCAGTAGGTGTGAATTAATCACATGAGCCTTTTAAAAGCCAAGAATTTTTTTTCAGCAGATCACAGACAAGGAAGTCAGAGAGATACACATTTTCTTACCTGAAAGAAAGCACCTATGTCCATGTTGTGAACTGCCTGTCAGGTGGCAAAAACTGAGGTTGTTCTTTGGTGTTTGAGAGTGGTCTCTGACCAATAGGAAGAAGAAAAATAGAGACCCAAGATTTCAAGCTAAAGAAAATATAGTCTACTGACAATTAAGTACCATGGAAAAAGAGCCACATCACATAAAACTATATTATTTTGTTTCATTCATGATACAGTCTTTAATTATATATTTATATGGTTGTTTCTCCTGCAGGTGTATAAGCTCCTTGAAAATAGAAACCATGTTCTATTGATTTTTGTATCCTTACAAAGAATAGCTCAATATAGAAGCGAGTAGCTGCTTGTTGAATTAATGAATGAGCAAATGAGAGGGAGCAAAGAGAACATAAGATAAAATGGATATTTCTGCCTCGTGGCCTTCGTGTTTTGGGGTTTTCTGTCTTGGAACCAACAGTTATGTGATAGGAAGCCAAATCTAATGAGAGGCCAGATGTGAATGCTTTGGTTGCTGGCCTGCTGAGCTCCAAGTCAAAGCTAGCATCAAATGTGAGCACCTATTTTGGACATTTCTGCTCATCCAGCCCCCAGATAACTGCACCCCAAAATAACCTCACAGGAAGTCTCATCACCAGTTCACCTTGTAGAATAAATAATAAAATGGTTGTACTTACTAAATTTTGTTATGGTTTATTATGTAGCAATATACAAACAATAGATAATATGTGTCTATATTGCTTAAATAGAATTATTTAAATAGGACTGAACCAGGATCCTATCAACCAATCTGGGAAAATGTTTTCTGCATCTGAACAACTAGCATATAAATCACTTTTGAATAACTTATTTGTAATTTTGGAACCACACCATAAAATTTGTTAGGATTTGCTGTAATACTTGATTCTGGTGGACAGAATACACCATGAGAAAAATCTAAGAATGTTAATTAGATATGGTTTGTTACTATAATTCATTGCCACCTCATTGTTGATGCTCTTCTTCTCATGTCCTCCTTGATCTTTTAAATGTCTTCCTGCTACCTATACTTTTCCAAACAGGATTGATTTTAGTTTCAGACTCCAACACTTCCTTCTCCCCTCAGATACACCAAAACCCATTTTAAGCGAACTTGAAATTCTCTAATAATGGATGAATAATGAAATGTCACTGACTACATACATATATATGCTGATATATGTGTATGCTGATATATATACACTCCTGTGTGCATGTGTATGTATATACACACACACCCATATATGTACATATATACATGTATACACATATATGTATGTACACATATCTATCCCTTCATACATGTTTGCATTTATTTGAGCATCATAAACAACTTCAAAATAGTAAATGTTGAGGATGAATGGATTTTTTTTTTACTTTTTTAATTGAGGTAACATTTGTTTGCAATAATGTATATGATTCAGAGGCATAGGATCACACACCTCCTCAGATGCATGTCACTACACTTCACTCACCACCAAGGCTCCCTCAGTTTTCTGCCATCATCTATTGTGCCTCTTTTTCATCTCCCCTTTCTTTTCCTGTAGCCTCAATTCCACAGTCATATTTTAGGGTTCATTATTATTTTTAAAGGTTTATTTATGCATACAAGAACTGGAGAGGTGCACAGGGTGAGAGGATCCACCAGAGACAGAGTGAGGAACAGAACAGGCAGACTAACAGAAATATACTGCTGAGGGGAGCATCAGGTGAGACAGGAGAGGTCTGCTGTGCCATGTGGGTAACGTCCCTGGCCGGGGATCGAAATCATGCTGCAGTGGCTGTGAATAGCCTCCTGGTGCTGTGTCTTAACGCCTTGCACCACCAAGGAGGCCCCTAGGGTTCATTATTGATGTGGCTTTGCTTTGTTTCTCTATATTCTACATCTAAGTGAAACTATCTGGGATTTCTATTTTTCTTTCTGACTTCTTTCACTAAGCATCATCCCCTACAGTTTCATCCATATTGTCACAAACGGCAGGAGTTCTTTTTTATAGCTAAGTAGTATTCCATTATTTATATATACCACAATTTTCCAATCTACTCCCCTGTGCTTAGGCACTTGGATTGTTGGAATATTTTGCAGGCTGAAAGTTTGCTCAAAATCTTTATCTAGGACACTTATGTTGATACCACTAAAGTCTGTAAGATAAATTCAATAATAGATATAATATATATATAGTCATAGCCATAGAGGGGTGGTGGATATATTTAAAGCAAACTGATTTTAGGAAAATAATTTCCATAATGATATCTTACATTAATTGTAAACACTTTTTCCTTTGAACTAGTAGACTTGAATTCATTTAATTACACACATCTATAAATTAGGCATATGCACACATCATATGGTATATTTCTTGGAGGGACCCAGCTTCACACACTGATTTACATAATACGATTGGTAGTAAGATAGAGAATCTGAAGCCAACCACTAACTTCCCTCTATAAAAAGACTTAAGTGGTGTTCTAATGACTGTGTTAGTGATTATCTTCTTTCCTTGGCTGTCAGCTATCTGTAATTCATCAACTTTATAATGTGACTGCATGTGCGCTCAACAGAAAAAAGCTAATCATTACCAATTTCATTAATTAGGGTTCTATGTGTAGTTCTGTTGTGAAAATTAATCACTTATTGCCATAAATTAAATATTCATTCTGCTTCAGAACTCTGTTTCCCTAAAATTATTCTAAGATGGGTTCTTGTGGAGGTTGAAAAAATATAAATTTTACACAAACATATGAAATCTCAGGACATTACCTCACATGTAATACCTATCATAAATTTAGGTGCCTGCTTCTTAAATTTAAATCCTCATTTATAGCTCAAAAATGGTAAGTAATATTCCAACTAAGGAATTGGTTAAGAACAATTATTCTCATTGTCTAGAGAGTTAGCATTTGAATGCAGGATAGATTCATTTTAAATACCATAGGTGCATACCTGGTAATAAACCCCATTTAAAAAATCCTTTTAAAGGAGAAATTATTTTGGGTAAAGCCTTTATAATGTGGCTGTTATTACTTGAGTATCCCAAGAATCTTCCATAGGTCTAATTTGGTAGCATTATAACTTATTCTCAACATTTTCAACTGAATTCTCAACATTTACATTTAACTTCAAAAAATTAAAATATTTTGCAAACTTCTGTATAGTTTCTTTTTGCATGAACATTTCTTAAAGATTAATTTAAAGATTGATTTTTAGGACACTTAAATTGATGAGTACACCATTAATCAAAATGGGACCTCAAAAGCTTATTTTTCTAAAGCAATGGTTTATCTTAAATTTGCAGGTTCATTTGTTTTCATGACATACAAATAAATATATCATTCACAGCATAAAAATGTCAATAAACTAATCTCAAATCATGGAAAAACTAGAATGACACTGTAGGACAGTCTCTGTACAAATAGTTATGCTTGAAAATTATCGCATGGTACCCTAATAGTTAACCATCTGAACAGAGGTCAGGGTTATGTGGGATTAGGTGAGCAGCTTCCTGAATGACCATAGGCTACTAAGATCACTGAACAACCTTAACCCAGAGAATCTTTCTTCTCTTTCTCAAGGGTGGTTCGGGCTCTTGTGGATCTACTTATTCTAGACTAATACCTTTTAACTCAGCACAATATTCCATGGGTTCATGACAGTCCTTAAGTGAAAAGTTTGATCAACTTTTTTTCTTATGATTTCTAAACATTATATTTTACAGCTTTAAGTGATCTTTACTATCTGTTTTAGATCACATGCTCTGCTTTCTCCATTCCTCTACACTGAATTATTTCTCCACTGATTATTACACATCTTCAAGTATTTTCATATGAATCTGTCGTTTATATAGTATGAGTGCTTACACATCTTAAAATATGTAATATCTTAAATTTCTTACTTTATTATGAGAATTATTAATGTGTTTTAGATATTATCTTGTGTGTTTTTCCTTCTAATGAGATTTCTATATTCAGTAGGAATTTAAAAAAGCTAACTATAAGCTGTTTACAGAAGTTTACTTCAATTTCAATAACATGAGGCAAGGATGTGGTGAAAAAGGAACTCTCCTACATTGCTGGTTGGAGTGCAAAAACTGGCCCAACCACTGTGGAAAGCTGTCTGGAGTTTCCTCAGTCTACTAAAATGGAGTTACCATATGACCTGGCAATTCCATTCCTAGGGATCTACCCAGAGGACACAAAAACACTGATTCAAAAGACCACCTGTACCCCTATATTTATTTTAGCACTATTTACAGTAGGTAAAACCTGAAAACAACCCAGATGCCCAAAAATAGATGACTAGATCAAGATGTGGCATGTAAACACAATAGAATATTATTCAGCAATCAAAAAAGATAAAATTATGCCATTCGCAGCAATGTGGATGGAGCTAAAAGGAATTATGCTAACTGCAATAAGCCAGAAGAAAAAAGAAAAATATCAGATGGTTTCACTTATAGCAGGGATATAGGGGAACCAAATAAGACATAAGTGTAAAAAAATAATAACAGTACAAAGCACAACAAAGCAAAAACAGACAATTATAAATCAGAGACATACTGCAGGAGAGGAGGAGGGAGAGGGATCAGAGGGAGAGAGGGAGGAGCACAGGGGACTGAGGTGATGGTGCACGGGTGCCTTGGTGAAGGAAACTATGGGGACTACACCTGAGGGGGTGGGGGAAAGCAAATATTGTTTTAAAATGAACAATGATGTAAAAAAATTAAAAAATAATAAAAAAACAAAAAACAATTTCAATAACATGAGAGGATGGCTGAAAATAAAATGAAAAACTATATTAACAGCCTGACCATGCTGACAAATAAAGCTGTCACACTATGTACGTATTAATACTTTCAGAAAGCAATTATGACAACATTAATATCAGACAAAAGTTAGTTAAGTAGAAAAAAAATTAACAGGGACAGATCATTATAAACATTAATAATGTTAAATGGGTCAATTTGAAAAGAGAACATCACAATTATAAATACTTGTGCACAAAACAACAGAATTGAAGATATATGAAAAGCAGAGAAATGAAAGGGATAATAGATATATTTATAACTATATAGAGACTTTATACGCTTTCTTAACACTGATTAAAAAACTAAACACAATGTTAACAAGGATATAGAATAACTCACTAAAATTATCAACTAAGAGAATCT